GGATTATGAAGGTGTTATATTTATGCATGTTTGTAGTTAATTATTCCTACTATGAATCTGATATTGGGCTATTTGTTAAACAAGTTATTATTTTTTTTTTCAAACCAAAAATCTGATGATGTCTACAAAAAAACCGTTAACTCATGTCTATTGTTTAATAGATTATTATTATTTAGAAGTTTAATAATGTGCAATTTTTCATGGAGGCATAAAGGGCATGGGTCATCCCAAGTTTTACATGTTCTAGCCCTGTTTATAATTTTCCATTTAACTTTTGGTGTCCTATTTGTTTCCTTCAGATGCCAAAAATATTTAGATAGGGAAGTCTGATTTCTTTTTGTTTATATTATTGAAAGAACACTTATGCTGCCTCCATCTATCTTTAAAATTATTCTTCGTGGACCCAATGTATATCATATTAGTGCTAGGGCTCTCAGTGGATGATATAGTACATTGGTATACCACAGATTTAATGCAACATTTATTTTCTAATGGGCAGTCTTCTGGGTTTCTACAGTTACATAATTTTTTCCCTTTTATTGTCTGATTTAAGTGCAGGGTTTTTATTAATACTGTTTTGGCATGGGGTTTGTTCAAGATCTTATTATTGTGTTTTTTTATTATACGTTCAAGATTTTCAGAGCAGCTGTAACTCAATTTTAGGGTGTTCTTATTGAATATATTACTAAGTTTACTATTGGTGGGGAAGTGTTTATCAATTAGAGCTAAGAATTTCTGTCCTAGTTTAATACTAACCATTTGGTTGAACGGAGGGTGTACCAAATGATTTTTCTTTTCCTGTTTTTTTTTTTATGGCCAGTGCAATTGTCTCTATAGTTAATGTTAGCATTTTTTATAACCACTATTTTTTAGGGCAGTGTTATAGAAGCCATTGTGTTGTTGGAATATTTCCTTGTTAGCGGAGTTAATGCTAATTCTATTTTCTATTGATGAGGGTATATGTTTAATTATGGATGGAGGGTGGTTTGACTTCGGGTGTATATATAAAGGGTTAGCATTTGGTTTTATATAAAGTTGGTATGTGTTTGCCTGGTAAGTCTAGAGTTACGTCGAGGAAGTTAACCCTTTTAAAATTAGAAGAGACAATTATCTTTAAGTTTAGTTTTTTAAATTCACTAAATATAATTTTTCTGATTTTTTCAATCTTAAAAAACTAGTAGAACTCCTCACCACCATGAGCCCGTCATCTCTATACAGTCCGATGACCTTAATATCAATTTCGCGGTGTGCCGTTAAGTTGTACAGTATTAGAAGACCAACAAGGTCAGAAGACTCTGCAGAGTCTAATGATCCCATAGTGATGTCAAACAGGTCGTTATTGTTTTTTTATCCATTGGTCCCCCATTATGAATGAGAACCGATTTCTTTGCGCTGAGGATTATATCTGTTTCTTCCTTTGTCAGGTTAGAATACACAGCAAAGCAAAGTCCAGGGCAGTTGTAAATAGATCCTTCGAAATTGATGGGTAGTAATCCACGATATCGAACTGTATTAGGGTGCAATTCGGTTTATCATCAATATAGTTAAAACAATTGATGACATCTTTAGTATTGATCCATAATTTTAATTCCAGTTGTTTTTTTTTTGGCAGGTAATTTTTTCCAGGATCCTTTTGCTGATCTTTCCTATGTCGGGTCGGGTAGGGTTAATTATTCTGGTTGCTGGGTTTTCTAAAAAGTCAGGCTTATGGTCCTTAAGAGTTATGTAACATTCCTTTTCAACAAGTTTACCTACTCTATCGCTGATTTTTAATTTATCAGTTATTTTTTTACTACTTCTGGTTATGCTATCGACTATATATATATATATATATATATATATATATATATATATATATATATGCAGCCATTTCAAACTTTACGACCACCCTGAATTGTTTCTCTATGTTGATAAAAAAGGCTAATTTTGCATATTTGGATAAATAAATTCATATATTTTGCATATATGCAAACACTTATATAACATTCAAATGTATTTTTCTACAAGTATTATGAATTTATTTGCATAAACTTTGGAAATTTTGTTACAACCAGTGGCTATTCTGGACTGTAGAGCAGAAATTTACAAATAATTCTACTGAACTGCTTGGTAGAGGTTCAATTCCATCTAGATTAATGTTTGATTGAAATTATTTTTCAGAAACCGTTAAAACGCCAAGAACTAAACCAATTAGTATTGAAAAAAGAGTCTAAGATTAAAGTCTTTCTATAGAATGGTATTGCGGACATCAAATTGCTAGAAAATTACAGATATAAAAATATGAATTGCTTTATTAACTGCAACGACATGCAAAAACCGACACAAGTGATGACAGAAAAAAAAACATTTTATTTTAAAGTACTGCATATATGCATGCAATCATGGAAAAAAAATTCTTTAAAGACATGTAACTTGATTAATTTTTTAAGTTTAGTGGACAAAATCAATGTGGTCGAAATCATTTGGACGGTAGTGTATACCCTTGTGTAAATTAATTGAAACAACCGCTTTAGTTTCCTTTCCTTTAACATACGGTCAATTTTAGACACACTGGAGTGACGGGGTGTAATCGATTTCTATTTTTTTCCTCGGATTAGGTCATTTGCAGTGGCATGCAGTAATATGAATCTATTTTCGGGGTGTATCATGAAATTTGCTTGGCCTTGAAAAATATTGCGTCATCCATGATTGCATCATCTTTTTTATCACGCCCTGACACTATTGTCTCGACTGTCGATTAGTTGTCCTACGGTTATTGTCTGGGATGGACGTTACTCTAAGGAAGCGTACGAAAATTGTAACGCAGCACGAACACACTGGCAAGCCTTACCAGTGAGCAAATCAAAGCAAAAATCCAATCGTTCTCGATTGGATTTTTACTTTGATTTGCTAACTCTGCAAGGAACAACTTGGTGGAATGAACATACTGATATGTACACGAGGTAATGTTTAATTGGAAAAATATGAAAAAAGTAAATAATAACAGAATTATGGGTTTGTTTTAATTAATTTGCACAAGGGTGTATATGCAGCCGATGCCACAGTTTATGGTTGCACCTCTAAATATTTTGATGACAAACCCTTGGCAGTTGATCTCAACTCTGCATACAGCTCAAATGTGGAAAAGACGGACTGACATCATTCAATAAACCCAAAACTAAACCTGTAACATTTAATCACCGCCGAGCAGACCCAAACCCTTCACCAATCCCGATGTAAGTTCCTATTGTCAAAGACGCTTTTTATTTCAAACGCCTGCTGTGGCTAAAGCTTGTTCCCGATCTCTAATTGTACGCCTATATTCGTGTCATTGTAAAAGACGCTAGAAGAATGGTCGGTTAGTTGCATCGCGCCAGAAAATACCTCTATCTTTATAAGAGTCAGAAGATATCAAGAATGGAATATTGCGACCATATAGTGACTGATTCTGTTCAACTTGTCGTACTTACTGTCCAACTAGGACAAAAGGGTCAAAGGAACATACGCGGCCTTGTCGAAAAGTCACCAACCTTTTACTAATATATTGCTATTTCTAGTACTATAGATGTTCGGACGAGTTATATTCCTCTGTGCCACAAGCTCGGATATTCCCTGTTCAAACACGCCAAGCTGTGTTTACCGTGGTAAAACATCGCTGTTCCCTTCTCGTTCCTTTGATAAAAAGCAAGTTCCATTCGAACAGCTTCTTTTTTGTGGGGGAAAAAAACCCCAGAGAGAAGGATTTTCTGTCAAAAAAAATCTTGGCCTCTTTAAGTCCGGGATCAAATGATATCTATGCTACTCCTCCTCCAGTACCTGTCTATATTTCTGAGATGCGGTATTATGTACATTATTCGAACTATTGTCCTCATCTTTGTTGAATTATTTATCACAACGTTTCGGCCGTTGTACGCTCCGGCCTTCTTCATGTAGTTGGAATGTCGAACTGAACCTTTTATTTCACTTGCTGGGGTAGACTGTTCTAGTTCCACGTGTCATGTCTAATGGATAGCAGTTATCAGTTATCTACTGTTAATTCACCACTCCAAGTTCTCTACTGCCTTAACCAGGTATTGCACTCACAACTCTTTGGATCCTGTCACTGGATCTAACCAAGCATAGAAATGAATACAATATGGACCCCGTAATAAGAAGTGCCAGAGAAAACAATAATAACAACGAAAAAATTGCAATACACTGGTAAAAAAATGCAATAATAACAGCAAAATTTGCAATATGATCACTGGTAAAAAAATGTTAACTGAAGACATTAAGTTACAGAAATTCATGCACAAAGAGTAGTGAGTTCAATTTCTAGTTAAGGCAATTGAGAACTTGAAGAGGTGAATTAACAGGTGATAACTGACATCCATTTGAAATAGCACATACTACTCATCCTCATAATACACTTAATTTAACATTCCCTCTCCTTTAAAATATCCTTCACTAATTACTCTACCTTGAGGGATTCTCTGGTTATTGCATTGCGTGAAATATCAGTAAATAATCTGTTATGATATCCGAGGCACCAATTTTAAGGACTAGAATTTATTTAGATATCCTAACAATATTCAGTACTGCTGAAGTTTTCGCATTCTCTACTCATTGAAAACTCTTCCTATAGTGTTTATATGTATAGTGTTACTACTGTTATATATATATATATATATATATATATATATATATATATATATATATATATATATATATATATATTTTCTTATATATATATATCATCCTCTTGACTATTGTAATGGTAGGCAGGTCCGAATGCAGATGCCATAGATATCTTACTATTTTGCTTCCTAATCCTTTCAGTGGGTTTGTAGGTAACTTATAACGAATGAAAGAAATCATGTGTATCTGGGAAAAATAAAGCATTCATTGATATTCATTTACGAACCGATAAATCTTGGAGGCAGAGAAAATTGGATCATCGATTTCATCTAAATTATTGCAAGGGGTCGAATTCAAACAAAAGTCCTTATATCAGTCTAGAGGTACATAAATATCTATTTCAGTCTTTTCATACTTATCTATCTATCTATCTATCTATCTATCTATCTATCTATCTATTTCGATCTTTTCATATCTATCTATCTATCTATCTATCTATCTATCTATCTATCTATCTATCTCAGTGTGTTCTTATCTATCTATTCCTATCTATCTGACTCTGTTCCTATCTGTCTATCTATCTATCTATCTGCCTGTCCATTTCCGTCTTTTCATATCTATCTATCTATCTATCTATCTATTTATCTCTCTATCTATTTTGGTCATTTCATATCTATCTATCTATCTATCTATCTATCTATATATATATATATATATATATATATATATATATATATATATCTCAGTGTGTTCTTATCTATCTATCTCACCCTGTTCTTATCTATTTCACTCTGTTCCTATCTATCTATCTATCTATCTATCTATCTATCTATCTATCTATCATAGTTTGGACATTACTATTTATCTATCTATCTTACTCTGTTCATTTCCTCTATCTATATATCTATATTGATAGCCTGTAACGTTCAATATGTCTGAGGCCAAAGAAATAACATTGCATCATAACCGACCTTTCACTCCCAAAGTGCATCCTTGTTTTGGGCATCTATTTTGACTCAAGTTTGATCCTTTTTAAAGTCAAAGTTACATATACGACTCATCCCTTTGAAGTCAAAGTTACATATACGACTGATCCTTAAGAAAATGGCAGTGTATTTATACTACTCCAGAAGGCTCCTGAAAAAACTATCCCTATCTCCAGAATAAAGGTTCTGAGGAACAACATTACACAAGGCCGAAGCATCTACTTTCCGTTTGTATTTCCTTTGTTATAAAGAAATTCTATTCAGACAGTGTTTCCCCCCAAGAGCCGTTGTTTTTAGGAACAGACTCCGAGTGGATTCTTTGATGATTTAACAAGTCTTCTTCCAGTCTAGGGTCAACCGTTATCTGTCCTTGATATCCACATCATCTAATGTTCCTTTATCCATTTCTTTTTTTTGTCGGGCTGGTTACAACGTTCGCTTTCTGACTATGAAACCGATGGTTGGAAACGTACCATAGACGATTAGTACGGGAAGTGATCTTGATATCAAAATAGGAAGGCGAAACCCGGCCTGCGGAACACTTTTCAGGAAGTGCCTGAAATCCATAGTACAGGTTGATCCGAGATTCTTGACAGAAAATGGCCAAACAGAACATTTCAGAAGCCGTCAAAGATTGTACTTTGAACAAGATTTTTTTGTGTACTGGGCCTGTTCAAAAATTCGATCACGCCGTATTATGGGCCTCCCCCGAGATACGGAACCTTTAGAAAGTACCTGAATATCACACTAAATCTTGAACCGAGGCGTGTGGGTGAAACTGGTCCAACAGAACTGTTCAGAAGCCGTCAACGGTTCTACTTGAATAAGTGTTTGGGGTGTCCTGAGCCTGTTCAGAAATTTGATCACGTCGTAATATGGGCTCCCCCCCCCCAGAAATGAAACCTTTAGAAAGTACCTGAATACTACACTAAATCTTGAACCGAGGCGTGTGGGTGAAACTGGTCCAAAAGAACTGTTCAGAAGCCGTCAACGGTTCTACTTGAATAAGTGTTTGGGGTTAACTGGGTCTGTTCAAAAATTTGATCACGCCAGATTATGCATTATCTCCCAGAAACGGTAACTAAGAAACGCTCAGCTTAGGATAGACAAGAAACCAGTCGTCTGGCAGACGAGGGTGTTCAGCAACATCAGCAGCCGGCCATTCGCCGATAGAACAATTATATCCAGTAATGCTATTCTTTGAGCGGCTCATGGAACTTTCATTTGGTGAACAATAATGTAAAATAACGACAAGTGAGCTGGCAAAAAGAATTTTATTTATTTATTACATTCTCTTGATCATATTCTTTCCAAAGTGTTTCCCAAATAATTATTCGATGATTTGTTCGCGGTTAAAATAAAGTCCTTTACCAGTTGGTATTAGAACGGCTCTTCAGGTAGCTGGAGACCTTAGGGTGGGATGAGACGCGGTTTCTCAAGGCCATCATCTTAGGATAATTACTGAACATAGACTGATTCTCCATCATGGGGTTCTCCAGACAGCAGTAGCACATCATATCGCACCACATCAACTGAAACGAAAGCATTGATATATATATATATATATATATATATATATATATATATATATATATATATATGTGATGGTTTTGACTATATTGTAACCCCATGTTCCTGTGCCATGAATCGATTATTTTTTGTTCAAAAGGAATGAAAAAGTCATTATTTTTTTTATTTCTTGAAAAGCTCAAGGCAAATTAAAATTCGATTTTACCATGTAGGAAATAAGGATAACAAATAAAAATATGAAAGAAGTTTTATTTTTGAATTTGCTAATAATGTAATTAAATAGTACTTATGTATTTTTAACGCATTTAACAGTTTATAGCTCTAGTATAATATACCATCTTACAAAAAAACAGAAATTACAAACTTACAGAAGATTTATTTTTAATTTTCTAAGGATGTCGTTGGATAACATTTAGGTATTTAAGGCATTTAAGAGATATATAGCTGTAGCATAACAAGACCAATGACAAAATTTCAAAAACAAGATCTAAGAGCTTTTATAAACTCTCTAGAATGTTCCAAAACGCCATAGCACTGGTATACTTATATAGGATTTCAGAAATTTCGTGTTGCGCTTGAAATTTTATTTTTAACAAAAGTCAAACACTCATATATATATATATATATATATATATATATATATATATATATATATATATATATATTTCATTGAATACGCCAAAAAAGGTGTTTTTATTTAGTTTTTAATACACTTTCTCATGTGATCTAATATTTTTTTCCTTTTCAGATGATAAATTATATAATAACTCTCCAAGTGTTCTTTTAATCCGAGTGTTTCTGCTATATATTCAGCTATTTTCAAGGATTAAATATTTTAACTGTAAAATAGGAAATAGTTCGTTGCATTTATGTATTTATATAATGTTTTCATTTTTCAAAACACGGTCAAGATATTGTGTCCATGTTCAAAATAGCTATTTTAACGTTATTTTCATACTGTTAACTGAAAATTCTCTAAATACTTTCAGTTGTTAAGGACATTTTGTTTTTGTTATTATTAGTTACTTTGTTTAAATAAATTCATTTCGTTTTTTTTGCCTTGAGAAAGTCCACATTAGACGAAATGCGTCGGCAACTATTACAGTTTTCTTATTGTCATTTATATTTATAAATATTGTCTTTTGTACAGGTTAACTATGAGAAATTTTCATATTTCATATATATATATATAAGACATTTTTATGCTTATAAATTCTTTTTATAGAATTCTATAAAAACAATGTATAAACATAAAAATGTCTTAAAATAATTGTCAGACTTTGTCCATTTCATAATATATATATATATATATTTCATTTTTGCATCATTTAGACAACAATTTATTCTGTAGATATATAGAAAAATAAATAGATTTACCTGATCCCCCATGAAGAAACCCTTTCCGCCATTCTGCATGTCTAAGGTTCTCTCCAAGAATGGCAGAACACGTTGACAGGTATTCATATATCTCCATTGCATATAGTTCTAAAGAAAATATAGAACATTATAAGAAAAGAAGCGCATTGTTTAATTTCAAAACATGTTAGCCATTCCGGAAAACGTTGTCGAAACGCATCCAAATAATTTGGAAAAATATTCTTGCATTGTTTCAATACTCAATTACGTTATTTAAAATCACATTGTCTAGCAATAATATACAATGAATGGTAAACGTTACATGAACCTGATACAATGAGATATTTTCCTAAGCTGTCCACTGAACGGAAGTGGAACAACTCCATTGCATCTATAGCTTCATCTACCGCAAGGAAAGTTGGTTCTCTGTGTCGCGCCAAAAAGTTTTTCTCACCTGAGTCTATTCTTCAAATCTATAAATCAAGCATTCGTCTTTACATAGAATACTGCTGTCGTATATCATCTGGTGCCCCTCGCTGTTCATCTTGAAGTCTTCAACAAAATCCAGAGACGGATATGCAACGTGATTGCTCCTAATTTGGCAACACGTCTACATTGACTTTCTCACAGACGTGCCGTGACTTCCCTCTGTCTTTTCTATAAGTATTTCCATCGCAACTGCTCGGAAGAACTACTTTCACTGGTTACTAATCTGCATGAATTTCAACGTGCTGCTAGGTTGGCATCTCGGTTCAACTCTTTCGCTGTCGAAACGGATAAATATAGTTATCTCTTCGCCTCCAAGAGCTTCTTATCTCGCACTTCCCGTCATTGGAACTCCCTTCCTATCATTTGCTTCCCTGATAGCTATACACATCAAATATTCAAATGTAATGTCAATCGACATCTGATGCTTTGTCCTTGACCTCCGTCCTTCTTATCTTTTCTCACTCCTCATTACTCTTACTCTCACTCTCTGTAACTCCTTGCGTGCTAGTGGCATTCCCGCCTTGCTTGGGGTGAAATGCTTAAAAGAAATTCACCATTCATTAATTTTAAATTTCGGGTTGATGTCAATTGATATTTTTCAACACCAAAACCTAGTTCCCGAGATTTACTCATTACAAAAAAAAAACCTCATTTAGCAAAAATGTAACACTGCAAAACATCAATATATTTTGTTGCGACCAGATGCACAATGACTATTAGCATAATAAACAACCTTAAGAAAGTATTGCCAATAATATTCATAAATATGAATTCTGGTTTTTATTTTAAGAAGTGGGTACAAATAAAAAGATTTAAAATTGACAACTTTTTTCCATTTCACTGAAACGGACAAGAAACACTTCTAGCTTCCTTTCTTTCTTTCTTTCTTTCTTTCTTTCTTTATCAATCTTGTCAGAGTGTTTCATTCGTTCTTTCTTAATCACTTCATCTATCTATCTCAGTCAATTAATATCTATCTATCTATCTATCTATCTATCTATCTATCTATCTTGCCACAGTCTTTCATTCTTTCTTTCTTACTCAGCTCATCTCTCTTTCTTTCTTTCTTTCTTTCTCTATCTTGTCAGAATGTTTCATTGGTTCTTTTCTAACCACTTTATCTATCTATCTATCTATCTATCTATCTATCTATCTTGCCACAGTCTTTCATTCTTTCTTTCTTACTCAGCTCATCTCTCTTTCTTTCTTTCTTTCTTTCTTTCTTTCTTTCTTTCTTTCTCTATCTTGTCAGAATGTTTCATTGGTTCTTTTCTAACCACTTTATCTATCTATCTATCTATCTATCTATCTATCTATCTATCTCAACCATCTAAAGATTCCAGAAAAATGTCCGGTTTCCTGTACCGCTTCAGTAAGTACCCGACTCCTCGTGCTATCGTCTGCTTTTACAAGAGCCAAATCAGGCCAAGAATGAAGTACTGTTGTTATATTTGGGCGAGGACTTAATAGACTCCACTGTCCATCTAGCTCTCTTTCTTTCTTTCATTCTCATTGAAACCAAGTAGCGTTTTCCCTAATTCCACTAGATCTTTTGGAATAGTCCACTTATCTATGAGGTATTGGTAGGAGATATTTAACTATCTTCCTTTCTTGCCTTTATTTATTTTCTCGCTGAAACCAAGTAGTCTTTCCCCTCTTCACATTCGATCAAAACTGAATAGTCCACTATTGGCCGGGGTATTGGCAGGGTGTAACGGTCGTGCGAATTAATGAATAGAAGTACAAGCACAACTGCAATAGGATACTTACGTCAAAATTAGAGTCATTCATGTCGCCTTTTCCATTAGTTGGGCTCATTGATCCAGCACTGCTTCCATTCTTACTGAACTGTAAATTAAATAAACATTGCTTAAAAATAATAATTATTATTTTTAATTTAATTTATAATATTTATTTTAATTATTGTATTTTTTTACATATAAAGACATTTTTAGCTTTATACATTCTTTTTATAGATACAAACATTTAAGTAAATACTCTGTTTATAATAATCAGTGTTAAGCAACATTTACCGGCCGGAATGTACGAGAAATTTTCATAGAAAATATCCGCCCTCTGACAGGATTCGAACCTGCATCCTATACGGAACAGTCATTTAGCTTGACGTGCCTTTAACCGATTTGGCCACAATTTACGTGCCTTAACCGATTTGGTCGAATTTACTGTATTTGAACTTCAATTTATTTATTTCAATTTAATTTGAAGTTCAAATACAGTAAATTCAACCTTTATTTGCGGTTGTAATTAAATACTGTTTTTTTTTTTTTTTTTGACACCAAAGTCTTCAGTTATACTTAAATTATTTACTGTCACCGTACATCAAAAAACACATATAATCGCGCATGATTTCATAGAAGCTGGACATTACAAAGCACTCGACATCTTAGCTAATGTCTTTTAGCCTTAATAATCATTAGCCTCTTTGCTTATCAATTTCTATAGATAGTGTTGAAAGATTTAAATATGAAATGTTGAACATATTCGAAATAACTAACTCACCCTCCGATTTTCCAGTGGTAGTACCTCATGTAATTATGCATGATTTCATAGAAGCAGTCATTATTTACAAAACACTCGGCATTCGTCTTAGCTAATGTCTTTTAGTCTTAATGATCATTTTACTATAGATTCTTTGCTTATCCATTTCTATAGACAGAGTGTTGAAAGATGTAGATATGAAATGTGCAGATTCAAAATAACTGACTCACCCTGAAGCGTCCATTCTTCCAGTGGAAGTACCTCATGTAATCGTGCATGATTTCATAGAAGCAGTCAGCGATGTAGTCACACCTCATCATCTCCATACTGTTCTTGGGATAGAAATCTGGAATTAAATTAATTTATTTTAGTTTTGATATATGTATATAGATTGTGTATTGTCTTTTGTAAGATTTCACCGTCCCTAACCTATATCTTCCATTCAATTGTATCTAAGTTGTAACGGAGTTCAGAGCAGCATTAGATCTTAACGTTTATTCCAACTTAATTTCAATAAAACAAAATAAATTAAAAAAAAACGTATTTTTCCTCAGTTTCATCATTAAATAATTTTATAATTTTAAACTTAATATAGATTAAATTTAAAATTTAAAATTGGTAAATTTGAATTTTATAATTTAATATTTATTAGTTAGAATGAATTCTATTTTAGTTTAACCCTAACATTGAAGCATTAAATAATTATTACAACTTAAGTTCGTTGTCAAGTTTTTTTGAATCCTCGTATCCTTGTATTTTGATTGGTAATTCCAGCTTATGTAAAAGCGTTTCCCCTAGCGAGGGATGTTTGATTGATTTGAACCTTTTAAAATCCTTTATTCTATATTCATTACCATCACTTAATACGACACCAGAAGTGGTGAAACAAAATGGCTATTTTTTAGTGATTTTATAACATTTTTATGTTATAATTTTCGAATAAATAATTATATATATATATATATATATATATATATATATATATATATATATATATATATATATATATATTAAATAACTCATTGAGGTTGATATGCCGTAAAACAAAATAAAACAAACTTTAGCTGTCCGCTACCACTTTTTCACAAATGTCGATTTTCGTGCAAAAAGCGGATCACATCTTCATAGATTTTTCTAAAAACCTAAACTTCTCATTGGACAATAAATATTAAAATTATCTCGTATATCTTTACGTGCATTGTTCTCAATAAGCAACACAAAACATATCAGGCTCCAGACTGGGTTTTGTAAGGCGCTTTCTGAGTGGTTAACAGATGTTAAAAAAAACAATTTACCTGTTCACCACTACGTCCGAATAACGTCAACCTAGTTTTTGACCTGACGAAAAATCAATGCTTTCGGAGCCTGTCACGTGGTTAAAAAACATATAAATTGAAGGTACGAGCGAACCCAGTCAGTGAGAATTTACGACGACCAAATTTGCTAAACGACTTCACGACGCTTGAATCATTACTGCAGCGAAGTACAAAGTTTGAACCTAAAGTTCTTTAACATGAAATAACTTCACTGAAAATCAAGCTACAATTTCAAGGAAAGATCTCACTCACCAACTTGTAAAATTTTGTATAAAACTTATTCAATTACGTTATTGAATCAGACGAAACTTTAAGTACAAACAATTACGAACAATACATTTAAAACTACGAGCAACGAAAACAAACGGAACATTCACCTTCTTCTTCCAACTTCTTTAAAGCTAAAAGTTTATTAACATATTTTCAGCTTTATAAGATTCTCTTTCAGTGAACATTTTGAACTACAAGTTAATTCAGTTTTTGTGAGCTCGGATAACAAAATGGTTTTTTATTAGTAAAAACATTACCCCAGTCAAAGGGAAGTAACTCATATTATTGTTATTGTAAAACTGTTGTCATTTATAAATATAAATATTGTACCTGTTAAGAAAAGTTATTTTCTTGTATTCTTTCTCTTGCTTGCTTTTTATTTTCTTGCACATTCGTAAAGTAAAAAAATGTGTGGGTTGATTTATTCCGTCAATACCACTACAAAACCAATCTAAACCAAAGAATACATATTATATTCATACGAATCTATCCTAAAATTTTTGTTGGCATTAAATAACCTATTGAGGCGTTGATATGCCGTAAAACAAAATAAACCAAACCAATCTAAACCAAAGAATACGTATTCTATTCATACGAATCTATCCTAAAAATGTAGTCGGCATTAAATAACCCATTGAGGTTGATATGTCGTAAAACAAAATAAACCAAACCAAACCAAACCCAACTGGTGTTAATTAATATGACTTCTATCAGTAAAAATCCCTGTTATCTCGAAAAAAAATTAATATTAAAAAATATTTTCTGTCTTTAAATAACCCGCAAATAGGTCTAAAAGCCGTAAAAAAAACCAGTCTATCAAAGCGGAAGTAATATACCTGAAAAATCTGTGTCATAGGATGGTAGAACTTGTACTTAGAGGGGAAGTTTGGGAATAAATATTTGTCAAACTATAACAAAAGGTATTTGGAGTCAAGGGCGCCCACGTACTGAAGAGACACTGCATCCTTATCGGATTCATTTTGGAGCAAACAGAATTTCAAATTCTTCTTCATCAAAAGATACCCTCTTTAAACACAGTTTGAAAGCAAAGAAATAAAAGCAAAATAATGGAAGATATATCTAAATTATGATCCATTTATCTATTAATGAAATTCTTGAAGAAAAATCGAATCATTATTCGTAATACTTACTGTATTCGCGGGCGAGGTACCTGGCAATAGCCATGGTTTCCGGCATTTTCATGCCACCGTCCATCTCCAAGACTGGGACGCACATGCAAGGCATATCTGTAGAAGTAAAAAATAAAATGATATTATAATTTAAAGCTTAAAAATCATAACATAAAAATTTTATTATCGGTGAGATTGATGAAAAAGATCTCAAACCGTAAAACAAGCGATTCTGAGAAAATTGATGTACCGAGAATTTTTTTTCTATATATTTATATGTATTCTATATATATATATATATATATATATATATATATATATATATATAAACATAATTCACATATACCCTAGACGACGAATATTACGCTATCCTAATCTTAAATATATATATATATAGGAGAATTTACATCTATTGTGTGTATCTATTAATTAATTCCTGACCACTGACAATCCCTTCCTTTCTGATTTTCAATGCATTCCTATTATTACATTATGCACATAATACCGCTATTCTATCAGTAATACTTGCCTTCGTTCCTGAACAATGACAATCCCTTTCTTCCTGATTTTCAATGCATTCTTATAGCAAAATCATTAGGAATGCATTTCCATTATACATATAATAGTCCTATTCTATCAGTAATAATATTCATTCCTGACCACTGACAATCCCTTTCTTCATGATTTTCAATGCATTCTTATAGCAAAATTATTAGCAATGCATTTCCATTATACATATAATAGCCCTATTCTATCAGTAATGCTTGCCTTCATTCCTGACCACTGACAATCCCTTTCTTCATGATTTTCAATGCATTCTTATAGCAAAATTATTAGCAATGCATTTCCATTATACATATAATAGTCCTATTCTATCAGTAATGCTTGCCTTCATTCCTGACCACTGACAATCCCTTTCTTCCTGATTTTCAATGCATTCTTATAGCAAAATTATTAGCAATGCATTTCCATTATACATATAATAGTCCTATTCTATCAGTAATGCTTGCCTTCATTCCTGACCACTGACAATCCCTTTCTTCCTGATTTTCAATGCATTCTTATAGCAAAATTATTAGCAATGCATTTCCATTATACATATAATAGCCCTATTCTATCAGCAATACTTGCATTCATTTCTGAACACTAACAATCCCTTTCTTCCACATTTTCGAAGAATTCCTGTAGAAATATTATTAACAATGTATCAATTAATTCCTGACCAAAAATAATCGGTTTCTTTGTTGTGGTTTTCAATATGCTGACGTCCCAAAAAATCTGAACTGCCGCTGCAGAATTGCAAGCATTGAACGGCACAAAACCTCATCACTATAATAATGTTTGAAGTAATATATATATATATATATATATATATATATATATATATATATATATATATATATATATATTGTGTATATATATATATATATTGCATATATATTTGTATATATATATTGCATATATATTGTATATATATAGTATATATATATATTGTAAGAATATTTTAATTTATTTTATATATATATATATATATATATATATATATATATATATATATATATATATATATATATATATAAATGTCATAATCCTTGTTTTTAATAACTACAAGTTGTATAAGGTTTTTTTTAATCTGCTAGTACTTTCAACTCTACATACAGTCATCCTCAGACATGGAAATTATTTTGTTTTTAGTAAATCAAGGTAGCATCAGAGACGAAAGATTAAATGCGAATCGAAATGTTTTTTTTTTTTTAGAAATGTCTTATTGTTAACGGATAAAAGCGTTTGAGCGTACGGTCGCAAGGCTAAAGTTGATTATTTTTTTTGAAAATTTAAGAGATAGAAGCTGAGACATTACTCTATTTATTGAACAATTTATACACGCCACATTGACCGATAAACTCCCGACAACAGAAAGAATTCTCTAATTTCCATATTAGTAAAAAACGCACTCTCTTAGATAACATTCATCGAGTGGTTCGTAGGTTAATGCAACTTTAAAAATTTTGTTTGCGAAGGGATTTTGCCATTTTATATCATTAACGTTACTAATCTACTTTTTGTATGAATGATTCATTGTAATATAAATTGAACTGCACCACATATTTGATATATATATATATATATATTCATGAATTATTCACACAAAAACAAATGCAAAGGTTAATGATTTAATTGGCGAGAAATCCATCGTCGCAAACAATTCAAATAATATACAAAAACCTCCGAATCCGTTATGAATGAAAATATCCTTGTTTCTATAAATTTCTGCCGTATTAGTTCTTATTTTTACTACAAGCTTTCGTCTGTTCCTACAGACATCTTCAGGTATGGAATAGATGTTGTTCTTGTTTTTTCTTAGTTTTTTTGTGAATAATTCATGAATTTGTAAATTGATTGCACGTTTATCGTAATATATATATATATATATATATATATATATATATATTATATTTAAAAAATATTTTTTTCTTAAAAATCGCTTGCATCGCTATTTCTATGGTTCGGAACTAAAATTGTTGGATCATCAGGCTATATTATTTAACTCACGATGAAAATGATTTACTTTTAGAAAAAGTAAATCATTTTCGTCATGTTACCTAATATCTAATATCTATGTGTTGTAGAGTAGTTTCACAGTGGAGGCTTGTATTTCACTAAGTCGGTCCTAAAATAGGTTCGACGTACAAAACGTTAGGGACTTGATATAATAGGTAATGAAGCAGGGAAATTTAGTTGTGGTGGCCGATACTTTAATATCCGACTAACGGTCGTCCGACATCGACTGACTGACCAACTCACTGAGCGACTAATCGTTACTATTACTACTCCTACTTATTATAGGTGGGAGAGTCTATTAAATAAAAAATAGGCATGTTCCACTATAACACTAAGACAATGCACATGCTGACAACGTGCTGAACTTTTCATCCTTGTGCCATAATTGTATTAATTTACAATAAATCTTGACAACACGCTGAACTCCCGGCCAAGAAGAACATCACCGTACTGGAACAACCTCCCCATCCAGGGGACCCCGTTCTGAGGCCGTGGAGACCATCACGCGGGCCGTTACGACGGAACTGAGAGGCATTCATGAAGAATCCTTCCAGCAGTGCATAGAAGAGCGGTAGAGAAGGATCGAAAAATGCATTAGACTCGAGGTGGGTTACTTTGAAAGGAAAACCAGGTGGTTCGTTTTGAGTAATTTAAATAAATTGTTTGCGAAAACCGTTTCTATCTATCTATCTATCTATCTATCCATCTCTCTCTCTCTCTCTCTCTCTCTCTCTCTATATATATATATGTATATATATATATATATATGTAGGTAAAATGAGTAGAAATTAATTCCTCCGTCCGTAATACATAATTTTAAAGAGGGCTCAGTACAAAATAGAGCTAAATATTATTCATTTTAGGACATTAAACAAAATCATGTTAAAAATCGCTATACAATTACAATTAGGATTCAACACTACAAATGCGTCTCCTCGGGCGATGTTAAACTACTGGCGAGTGAAAAATTATTTTAATTTCAAAAAGAAAAAACTTTTTTTTCACGAGAGAAAAAGAACAGAATAAAAAAAAGGCTATATATATATATATATATATATATATATATATATATATATATATATATATATATAAATAATACAGTAAGATATATAATCTGGTGTTCTTATTGATATTTTTAATTTTTACAAAATAGGGCTCAATGTAAATTTACAGAGCATTAATATTATAAATTAAATGATTTAAAATATGTTTTTTTCGCTACACAGTAATAACCATGTTTCAAAAATGGATGCTAAAAAAAAAATCGAATTTAATTTTGCAATTAAATTAACGACATTAGTTCCATTTCATCCTCAAGCGAATTTTGAACTAGTATTAATATGAACTAGTATTAATTAATGAAAGTTTAATTTTATGTATATATATATATATATATATATATATATATATATATATACAAATTAAACTTTGTATTAATTAATGCTAGTTCATATATATATATATATATATATATATATATATTTATGTATATAAAAAATCAACATATATTACTAATACTAGTATATACACACACATATATATATATGAAGTTAAACTTTTATTCATACTAGTACATATATATATATATACATAAATTCAATATATGTTAGTTAATACTAGCATATATATATATATATATATATATGTGTGTGTGTGTGTGTGTGTGTGTGTGAAATAAAATTAACATATATTAGTTAATACTAGTATATATATATATATGTAAAATAATTTTTTTTAATTAATACTAGTACGTTTATATATATATATATATATATATATATATATATATATATATATATATCGGTGACCTCTTGATTTGATTACTTCATAAAACAATACCGACAGTCATACATTGAATGAGTTTGAAGTGTTTCCGCTAGATTCAAATAATTGTTTTGATTTTTGTTTGGGGGCGACTTACGACTCTACCGGGTCTATTCTAAACACGAATGAAAAACTAGAAAGTAAAAGATAAAAAACAAAGGGTCCAGTTGCGAAAAATCTCTGGAAAAGTCATATCAAACTTATTAAAATACATACCCTTCCTGTATTTATCCCATTCGTTGAACTCGAACCTCTTGTCCATGTATTTGACGCCGGCAGCGGCGAACATCATACGCAGGATCTCGGCCCTTCCGCGGCCATTGAAGTAGTACAGAGTGTAGTTAGGCATGGTGACTCTGGGTCTGAAAATATCGCAAAGAAAGAAAGATCGGACAAGATTCCAGCCGGTGCTGTGTTAATCGATGTCGCAACTGTTTGTTGTTGACTGCAAATGTCTGATTTTATAGGCATCTTCGACATAAAGAGGTTATGCTAGTTTGCGACTGGCTGATTCCCAAGGACATTCTGTGTGTTGCCAGACAAGTCGGTCTTCTTTACACACTAAGAACTCAATTACAATTTTCTCCGAATTAAGACCACCTTCTCATAAATGGTCACTAATCCAATTTCCCTTTGTCTTCCAGATTGTCTGCAATTGCTTAAAAGTATATTTTGGTCCTCAAAGCAAATACAATTTTCTTCAAGGCGTGATGACCGCATTTCGTCTAGACAGGACTGACGAATGACCTGAGAATATAGTCGAAAGTTATTTTGTTTCATTTTGGCAAAACGTTATGAGAACAAAGAACTTAATTTATGAATTGAATTCTAAACTAAACTTTCTCCTATGTGATTTTCGATCTATGTAATTCATGTTAAGAACTGAAGTAAGTTCATTGACAAGTTCATCGATCGATGATCGATCAGCTGTCATTGAGGCGAGGAAAGAGATTGTGTTTTTTCTGATGAAAATAAATGTTATTTTATCTGTATGTTGCATTATTACTTTCTAGCCTAAAGTGACGAGACAAAGTCAAAAATATATTAAGGACACGTTTCGCCGAGAGTGTATTTTCTCTTTGGCTTCCTCAGGTTAAAATGGAATCTGTATGTGACCAAATTGCCTGGGGATCTCTGAAGATAAGTGGCAATAATAAATCAAATGAAATTAAATTACGTTATCATCATCAAATGTTCAGACTCAACAGACTGTCATCCCGTTTGTTTTATCGTTCATTTCGAATTATTGAATTTCTGTTCTAATATCTAAAATAAAATAATAATAACATAATGGTTGACTTTGTATTGAATACTCTTCAAAAAAAAAAAGAGGAATTTTACTTCATCTGCTCTACCTCTCATTTATATATATATATATATATATATATATATATATATATATATATATAGATAATAGATAGGAAAAGACAATATTTATAAGGCATTTTTTAAAAGCAAAAGCTAAAATAAAAAAACCGGTTTCGTCCCAGGACTTATCAAGTTTATTTATTCTGGGAATTTAAAAAAGCGTAAATTAATTTTTTAATTAACGAATGTAATCGAATGGGGGAAAAATTATGAATTTCAAGAAACTAGAGTCCAATAATATTCAGACCAACAAGCATTCCCTCTGTTTACAAAGGAAGGCTCACTGGATCTGATATACAAGGACTCTAGAACCTTGAGGTGAAATGTGGAGTGGGACCTAGATAAAATTATAAATCGGTCACCACTAAAATTTTCCACAAATTTCCTTCTATTTATTAAATGTTCAGCAATAGCAGAACCAGAACTGTTAGTCAGTTGGCTCTTCCTGGAGGACAGATTCAAAATCCTGGGGGGTAAATGCTGTTTTATTCTCGAATCCAAACGCTGGGACGTCCTCCCTATGTAGTCGTGTCCACAACTACACTTGTATTGGTAAATCACTGAATTAACATGATGGGAGGACGTCCTTACGAATGGAAGAGAAAGCAGGACGGGTAACAAATATTACCCTAACATTCGCCGATAAAATAACAACAATTATATATATATATATATAAAATAAACGTGAAATACGTTTCGATAAATTCTCACCCTCTGTACCAATATAGGGAAGACGCAAATAAAATGGGCTTTTATCAGCTAATTACGGCTTCACCCTATGGAATTTACTGATGACGTCTAAAACATCCAGCGGATATCCGTTTTTTTGATAGTGTCATTCTAACAAAGTCAATTTACCCGCAGAGAAGACCCTCAGAACATAAATTAAGTGCCCTGTGAATTAAGGACTTAATCAAATTAATCTTACGTTGTCTGGGACAAAAAGAGCCCCAACGCGTATAAAGTCCCGAAAAAGTGGCCTTTCTAAATACAGAAGTCTCACACTTGTCAATAATCTTATGGACAAGAACATCCAAAAAGGAAAGACAAGAATTGGACTCCTTTTCTACGGTGAACTTAAGAGCAAGATGGACAGAGTTTAATTTGGTGAGAAATTTGTCGGCTTCAGCCTCATTATTAAAGAGGCAAAAGGTATCATCCACATAACGATGATACATAAGAGGGTGACCAATACAAGTAAATAAGGAAGACTCGTGAAAACCGACAAAAATATTCGCCAACGCTGGACCCAAAGGCGAACCCATAGCTACCCCGTCGATCTGCCGATACATAATATTATTAAAACTAAATTCGAAAGACGCAGTGGCGAACATCATAAGCTCAACAAATACACCCTCAGGAAAATCCGGAGGAGACAAAGAGGTACGATACAACATATCGCAACACATCTCAATAGTCTCAGACAGCGGAACACATGTAAACAGGGAGCAGTATCAAACGAATCTAAATTCCAAATGCAACTATCAAAGTGCGTCAAGAGTGGTTTACTCTGCTCTGAACTTTCAGAGTTAATTCGTCCCCGTTTGTATGGGTTACCTAAAATCCATAAGGATGGTGTCCCTTTACGACCCATTCTGTCCATGATTGGGTCTTCCCAGCATAAAGTCGCTAGTTGGCTCTCGAATGTGCTACAACCAGTTTTGTCACACTTCAGTACTTATTGCATTAAAGATTCCTTCCCCTTTGTGGAAATTATACGTAGTTCTTCTACTTATGGTGGGTTCATGTGTTCGTTTGCCAAAACAGTTCCTCCCAATATATTGGAGAAACAAGTAGAAATTAAAAAAATGCATTTATGAGCACAAAAGAGACCTCACAAAAAACAACTTGGCTAATGCACTAGACATACATAGAAATAAATTCAACCATAATTTTGATTTTAGAAATGCTACACTCATGAAAAAAGAAAATAACTCACTCAGAAGGAAAATTCTAGAGAGTGCCGCCATAGAATATTACCCAAATATTAATCTACTCCCAGGCTTTTTCCCTATTTCACCATGCTTAACAAAATTACTTCTCTCCCAAACAAACGTACACAACAATATCGTAAAATGAAAAGAAAATGGTTGAATCTGCCAACACAGTCATAATGACAATATTCTCTACACGTGACTGTAACTGACGTTATTTTCAGTTAACAATATGAAAATAGCGTTCTCTACATTCTTCCAGTTGCTAAGGACATTCGGTTTTTTGTTATTATTAGTTACGTTCTTTAATTAAATTACTTTCGTTTTTTGCTTTGAGAAAGTCCACATTGGACGAAACGCGTCAACAATAACTACAGTTTTCCTATTGTCATTTATATATATATATATATATATATATATATATATATATATATATATATATATATATATATATATATATATATATATTATTTGGGGCTGTGGTGCGAGTGTTCATACACTCATACAGACACGCATATAAAAACCATACAATCATCTTTTATATATAATGGTACATGTGGTGATACATATACGTGGATATGTGTTTGTCCGAAATACTTATATCTATATATAAGTGTGTAACAAGTATACATAAAAAATAGCCACTGATATATACCTATGCATACAAACCTACATCCACACGTTTAGACACATCAAAGAGCCTATTTTATATATACTTGTTACACACAATATATTATATATATATATATATATATATATATATATATATATATATATATATATATACGTTTAATATGCATGTGTACAACTATACAAAAATACTCTATGTATATTCTTGTGTGTGTGAATATATACACATATATGCATATATATATATATATATATATATATATATATATATATATATATATATAAACTAACAGATTTAAATATGTTTTTTCGCTACACAGTTCTAAAATGTTTCAAAAATGAAGCTAAAAGCTTCGAATTTAATTTTGTAATTAAATTAAAGACATTTCAAAAGTAATATAGTCTATTAAAATTAACAGTGAAAATATTTTAAAGTTATATTTAAAATTGTAGTTAAATAAAACAAATTCTAGCCTAAACACCTCTCTCAATGTACTACAAGCACTTAAAAGAATCCAATAAAACACCTACAGTAAAATGAAATTAATATGAAAAGCTAGAAGATGTAGGCCATTAAATTCCTTTGTACTTACATGAGAAACTATATATTACAAAGTTTATAAAAAATAAAAGTTTACTAAATCAGAGAAATGAATTAGATATTCTTGCCATTCTTGTCATAAATTTTACTAAAATAATATATAAATATAAATTTTTTAAAAATTGTGACCTGGTAATATACATACTTATACTTGATGTGAAAATAATTTTACATACTGTAAGTAATTCTAATACATTTATTTGTTTTTAAAAAATATATAGTAATATATTAAAAATTAAAAGTGAAAATATTTTTTAAAATCGTAGTTAAATAAAACGTATTCTAACCTAAACACCCCCAAATAATCTTTAAATATACAAATAGAAAAAAAATGCCTAAAAATTTTTGCCGTTGACAATAAATTTTAAAAAAAAATCCAGACGACATGCATTTAACGGATGTCAGAATTCGTTGGAATATACATCCCTACCCCTACCTAAACGAAAACCCTTCTTCAAACGTAACTAATAACTAATACAACAAAATACAGCGATAATGAACACGCAACCACCCCTTGTCTGGATTGATGTATTTCTCTGTATCATTGGAAACGTGAATTATGAATTTTTGCAGTGCCTTTATCACTGAGTAATTTTTAAGAATAAGTTACTCCAAAATTCGCTTGAGGATGAAATGGAACTAATGTCTTTAATTTAATTACAAAATTAAATTCGAAGCTGTTAGCTTCCATTTTTGAAACATGGTTAGAACTGTGTAGCGAAAAAAAACATATTTTAAATCAGTTAATTTATAATATTAATATCTGTAAATTTACATTGAGCACTATTTTGTAAAAATAAAATATCTATAAGAACACCGGATTATATATCTTACTGTTCTTTGTATATATATATATATATATATATATATATATATATATATATATATATATATATATATATATATATATAT